ATAATAATAAAAAATATAAAAATAATAAAATAAAATAAAATAAAAAAAACTGGGTAAATTATCAAAATTAACAACTTTTGTTCTTTGGGAAACACCATTAAGAAAACAAAAATGCAAATGATAGACTAGGAGAAATATTCACAACATATATTATTAGACAAAGGAATTGTATCCAGAATATATTTAAAAACAAAATAGGAAAGGCTCTTATAATGCTGTGATAAAATGTCTGACAACCCAATTAAAAATTTTGCAAATGATTTGAACAGAGGTATCTGAAGTAAGCCTGTGAAAAGATGGTCAATAGGGAAATACATATTAAAACCACATGGAGACATCAGGATATTAGAATGTTTTCTACAAATCACTCCATTTATTTATTTATTTATTTATTTATAGAAAGCAAAAGAAAAACACAGCTAACCAAGTGGTGATTGGGATGTGAATCAGCCATGGTAACTTTCATACATGGATGGCAGATGGCAGGAATGTAAAATGAGACAATAATTTTGAAAACAGTTTAGTTTCTTAAAAAACTAAACATAATCCTACTATATAACCCTACAATTGCACTGTTAATTATTTGCACAAGAAAAATGAAAACATATATCCACCAACTTCTGAATAGATTAAAAATTGTAGTATATCTGATATAATGCAATATACTGAGAAACAAACTAGTGATAACCAGTAACAAATAAAGCTCAAAATTATTCTATTGAGTGAAAAAGACCAGCCCCCCCAAAAGAGAGTCTGTTCTGTAAGATTCGATTCCCATGAAAGTCTAGAAAATAGAAACTAATCTGCCATAGAAATCAAAATAATTGTGCAGATTTAGTGAACTCAATAAATAATCAAAATAATTCTGCCAAGTTAGTGAGCTCAACCAGGAAAACCATGCCAAGACACATAATCATCAAACTGCTGAAAATCAGTGATAAAAAGAAAGTCTTAAAAGCAGTCAGAGAAAAAGGCACATTATGATGTACAGAGGAACAGGGGAAAGAAAGATTGTAAACTTGCCAGCAACTATGCAAACCACTGGACACTTAAAGCACATCTTCAGTGTGCCAAAAAAAAAAAAAACTGTCATCCTACAACTTTATACCCAAAACAACATTTTAAAAAAAATTGAGACAAATGATTTTGTCTTTTAAGAAAAACGGTAGCTAGTAGAAGATCTTTAAGTATAGGTTTACACACACACACACAAAAAGTGACATTGTGAGTAAATTTAAAAGACTTTCTAATGTTTTAATGTATTTAAAATGTTTTTAAGTAAGTTATATATAATGAGATTTTATTCTTGCATACTATGTATTGATTCTTACATACTAAGTAGTACTATAATGTTTTAAAGTAGATGTTGAAAAGCTAAAGTGAATTTTGTGGGCAAGCCCTAAAAAATCTAGAAGAGGTATAGCTATTAAGTTTATGGTGGCAACAAAATGGAATACCTCAAACTTCTCATTTAACTTAAAATAATGTTGTAGAGTGGAGAATAGGGAGGGATATATAACAGAGGAAATAAATAGCAAATAAGATGGTAGATATAAACCCAGTGATTTTAGTACATTCAATTTTAATGGTCTAAACACTGTCCTCAAAAAACAGATATTTTTAGACTGGATAAAAATGCAAGATTCAACTCTGTTGTCCACAAGAAACTCAATTTGAATATAAAGACATAGGTTAAAAGTTAAAGAATTGGAAAAAAAATACGTAATGAAAATGCTGCTAATTAGTAAGAAAGCTGGTGTAGCTGATATAACAGTAGACACAATAGAATTCAGAACAAGGACAAGGAGGAGCATTTTATAATGATGATGCCAATTCACAGAGGGGACATAAAAATATGCAATATAAATGTACCCAATAACAGAGTATCAAAATACATGAAGGAAAATTGGCAGAAAAGGAGAAAGGCCAGAAAATCATGAGAGATAAAAGACCCAAAGAACATTATCAATCAGCTAAATCCTAATTAACATTTATAGTACATTCCTCCCAATAAGTATAGACACATTCTTTTCTGTGTTACATGGAATATTCACCAGTGTAGATCATATGCTATCCATAAATTCAGTTTCAGGAAATTTGGAATGACTGTAATGTTACAGTCATTTTTACATGTAATCTTACATGTTTTACAACCTCAAAGAATCTTGTACATTTCAATAATAGGCTAGGCCCAGTGGCTCGTGTCTAATCCAAGTACTTTGGGAGGCTGAGATGGGTGGATCACCTGAGGTCAGGAGTTTGAGACCAGCCTGGCCAACATACATACATACATACATACTAAAAATACAAAAACAGCTGGGCGTGATGGCATGTGCCTTTAATCCCAGCTACTCAGGAGGCTGAGGCAGGAGAATTCGCACGTACCCAGGAGGTGGACGTTGCAGTGAGCCGAGATCGCGCCACTGCACTCCAGCCTGGGTGATGGAACGAGATTCTGTCTCAAAAAACAAAAAAAAGAATTCAGCAAAGAGAAAAAATTCTGAACAATACCTAAATATTTGAAATTAAGCAACACATTTATATCCTATGGGTAAAATAAGGCATCACAAGGGAAATTATAAACAATTTGAGATAAATGAAAATAAAGAGACAGTATATCACAGTTTATGGGATAGAGCTAATGTAGTGAATAGAGGGGAATTTATAGCTTTAAATGATTTTATTGGAAAAGAACAAAGGTCTCAAATCAATGATCTAGGCTTCCACCTTAAAAACTTAGAAAAATAAGTTTGAGTGAAAATAAAAAATAATTAGAAGGATATAAAGAGGAAAGGGCGGAAATGAAAAACATAGAAAATGAGTGATCAAGAAAGAAAATAATTGAAATCAAAAGTTGATCTTTTGTAAAAAGATCAGTAAAATTACTCAATTTTTAGTCAAGTAATCAGTGAAAAAGGAGAGAAGATACCTAAACTGGTATCAGGAATGAAAGAGGGACATGACTACAGATTCTTCAGATGTTAAAAAGGTATTAAAAGAATTTTTTGAGCAACTTTTTGCCAATAAGTGCTGTAATTTATACAAATTACCAAAACTGAATTAATAAGAAATTGATAGCCTGAATAGTTTTTTTAGTTTTAAAAACTGGGCTTATGATTAAAATTTCACCACAAAGAGAGCTCCAAGTCTGGTTAATAATTAATAAATATTACAGTACACAAACTCAAAAAATGGTGAAGGTTGGATCATTTCCCAGTTTTCTTTATGAGGCCGGCATTACTCTTACCAAAACCAAGTAAAGCCATTACAGGAGAAAAGATGCTTTGGAAAGGGCTTTGGGATGTTCCAGGTGATTACTCAGAAGGTCACAAGAGTACCATTTGAGTTGATGGAAATAATTTCTGTCTTGGTTGTGTTCTTGGCAAAATGAAAGTATGGATTTTCAAAAAGTTACTGAACTTTATTTTTAAAATGGATACCTTGTATTATATGAAAATTATACCTCAATAAAGTTGACTTTTTTTAAACAAAAAGATGTATTTGTCAGCAGTTTGAACCATAAGAATTTCATGAAGTGGAATTTATAGTAGAAGAAATTAACTAAAATGCAGTAAAGAAAGCCAAAGAGACATAAAATGCAGAAGAGAGTTAGTGGCATGAAGACTATAATGAGACCAACTAATACACTTTTGATCAGTCTTAGGAACTGTGTTATCAGCAACAGATGCTCACAAGTGCAGTAATATTTTTGAAGCAAGTCGATGACAGAAAAATAGAGTATCTTCTACTATAAAATAGAATAACCCTTCTATAGAAGGATTTGGGCTTAATCTGTCTGAGTCTCTACCCAGTGTGATAGCTTGCTCAGGCAGTAGGTAGTTCATTCACTTTTTTACCAGGAAATTTCTGCTCATGGGAACTAGTACTGTCATTTCACAAAAGATTTTATTTCATTACATATTTACCAAGTATCATGATAGCTACCTTACTTTGTGAAATCTGAGATATTATTAGTTGTAGGATATATCAGTAGTTCATGTTTTATTAAATGAAAACCTGTAGCTAGTTTTTTACTATGACAGTAGATTTTAAGATGAGTCTTGATTTTGGAGATGTTAATGTTTTTCAAAAGCATCTTATAACTTATAAAATATTTCTGTAGAAGTATTAATAATGTTTTATAATTTAGGAATACCACTGAGAAAATCTACTTTTTCTTTGATTTATAGGGTCTGTCATGCTGTGTTTAGTTTTTTCCTCCCAAATCCACACATGGCTTACATTAGTTCCTTTTCTTAGCTTCTCAATTATTTTGCCATCAGGATTGTATTTTTTTTTCTTTGGATGTCTGTAGTTGATTGTTGCTTAAAATTAAATATGTTACTTCAAAGTCAAAAATTGTAAAATCTTAAAACTAGTATGTCCAGAAAGTGTATTTTTGAGAAATTAATAAACTAGGGTTTTGTTAACTTGACAAGATTTTCAGTAATTTTTTTTACCTAAAATTTAGGGCAATCTATAGCAATGACCAAATTGTTGTGTTTTCATTTTTACAAGTAGGTTTAAATTGTATACATCATATATTTAACAGAAAGATTTCTCCCTATTGACACTCATATACTCATTCTTGTAATTGATGTTAAAGATGCTATTTTTTTGTATTTACTTTTTTAACACAAATGTAAACAATTATAATACATGGTCTTCTAATTATTCTTCCTCTCTCTACAAGATTATTACATAAAAAATCTGCCCACAATATTTTACCCAGGAATATTTCTAAATGATAAAGTTGTTTAGTTGTTTTAGTAGTGAATATTTGCATTTTGATATTTTAATTTCTTTACAGTCATGTAATTTCTGGTAGTCATTGTGTGACTGTTATATTGTATATTGCCTAGTTCAGCTTAATGCAGCTAGAGGAAAAATACTTCTGATATGTTAAATTAATTTGCTGATTGATACAGAGTTTATGACTTTAAATTGTAAAACATAACTTTTCTAGTAGTTAATATACTTTTCTCTCTTTAAAAACACAGGTTTTGAGAGTATTTTAGAAGGGCTTTATGGACCACGGCTACGAAGAGACCTCAGTTTATTTGAAGGTAATTTTTGAAATTTTATTTAAAAATTGTCATTTCCTATTCTATTTTAAAAATGAAAAATTGTTGTTCTATACTAACTTTATATTAAACATGAATTTATGATCCTATTTAATTAGAAAATATTTTAAAATTAATAAAGTAATCCAGATTTTTTATTACATATCATATTTTTTAAAAATTTTGTATACTAAATCAAAATAGAAAATAAAGCTTGTTTGGGGGTCAGTGATGTAATTTTTGTTGTTTTATAAATTCCATGCCCTAACTATTCTTAAATAAGATTTTTTAAAAAGTTAATTAAATTAATTGAGTTAGGTAATTGCTTAATCAAATTATTAAACTTTAATTGAATTATTTGATTCAATTTAAGTAAATGTTCAATTGAATAATTGCCTTCTAAAAAGCTATCACCCAAATTTTCACTTTTGTTTGTTCTTTTAATATTTTTCTTAGTGAAACACTTGTGAATATTGGGAAGGAAGAAACAATGGCTAAGTGAACTAATATACATTGACTTCCTTTTATTTGTTTTTGTTAGGACATCTCTTTCTAATATCTGAAGAGCTAGAGTTGTAACACATTTTTTAAATGAGGAATTTATAGAAAATATTGAGTAGGGCCGGGCGCGGTGGCGCAAGCCCGTAATCCGAGCACTTTGGGAGGCCGAGACAGGCGGATCACCAGGTCAGGAGATGGAGACCATCCTGGCTAACACGGTGAAACCCCGTCTCTACTAAAAAAATACAAAAAAACTAGCTGGGCGTGGTGGTGGGCGCCTGTAGTCCCAGCTACTCGGGAGGCTGAGGCAGGAGAATGGCGTAAACCCGGGAGGCGGAGCTTGCAGTGAGCTGAGATCCGGCCTCTGCATTCCAGCCTGGGTGACAGAGTGAGACTCCGTCTCAAAAAAAAAAAAAAAAAGAAAATATTGAATAGAAGTCAGGAGATTAATTTTTTTCTAGTCACTTAAACCTGTAAGGTCAACATATTTCTAACCTATAAACTTGGCTCTTCACTGGCATAGTTTTCAAAAATAAGTAGAGCCTTTGTTGCTATTGTTCAAAGGAGAAGTGTCCTTGGTAGTGATATTGTAGTAATGATGCTAATATTTAATCAATTAAAATTTTTTTTAACTTAACGTGAATACATTTCTTACTAGGCATGACCTGCTTTGATTTTCTTTCCAACTATCATATCCAAGGGATATTACTAAGCAGTAACTTACAAGATTTTCTTAATTTCTTAATATAAATTTTAAATATTAAGTACAATTTATTATTTTAGGATTAGATTGTGTTTCCAAAGTGTTACATCCTGCTTGTAAATTTTTTTGTATAATTACCATCATATTTTATACAATTTAGGCTGAAGAGCAAGTTTACTATCAGATTGAAAGTAATTTATTTTTAATGATAAAATCTAATGCTTTTAAAGTATGGTTGGGAAAAAGGATTTTTTGTGTATATGCAATTTTGAGCTCCTGTGTATTACTAGTACACCCATTCTGAAAAAGTTTTATCAATAAATATTCAAAGCTTAAAAAACAAACATAACTACACTGTATTTTTAGGTATCACAAGAAAATAATCAGATAAGTACGCAAAAGATGTATTCTGTATAAGGCTGCTCATTATAGTTCATTTAAAGTTGTTTCCAGTTTTTTTTTCTATTACGTATTTAAAAAGGGGCTATTTAATATTTTATATTTATAATTGGGATACATGCAGGTATTAACAGTTTTGTTGAGTTTATTAATGACGTGGAAGAATTGTTAGACTCAAGAAAAGCAAGTGCAGTATATATATAATGTATATTGACTCATTCTATTTTTGTAAACAAAACAAAAACTGAAAAAGAAAGTATGTATGTTTTCATTGTAAATGGACTAGAAAGAAAAGACACCAACATGTTTGTCGTGGTTATATTTGAAGTATGGATTATGCATAGTTTCGGTTTCCTTTTATATATGTGGCTTTTTCCAAAATCAAAAATGTATTATATAATTTTTAAAATGTGAAAATTATGAAACTCTTAAAAAGCACACTTTGCATTTTTCTTACTGAAACTCTTACCAGTATTGGAAAGGGAGGCCTGTGGCTGACTAAACTAAGATCGTTATCTATTTTTACCAACAATTAGTTTTTTCAGTGATTTTGATCATATTATATGTGTAATGCTAGTGTGGAATATCAGATGAACTTTATCCGATATTTTAATTTACAGAACCATAAAGGAAATAGAATTTTATTTGGGTTCTCATATGTGTAAACACTTTCTTTCACCTATAACCTGTGTTTTCTTAAACTGTCCTTGGAATGGGAATGAGATCTTCCAAGAATATAGGAACATAGCATGTTTTCAGTCTTTCCCATGAGGTTTTCAAAGAACTTGTGGATTATCTTAAATGTATTGCAACAGCTTTAAGGCCTTTGAGGTTCTCAGACCTTGAAGACAAGGCATTAAACCTTGTATTCGTAGCAACTAGTCAGTGTTCAAAAGTGTCTTTATTGCCCATTGAAGCCCTCGGGCTCCTGGCTGCTGTTGGGCAATGTAGGTTACAGGTTTGCAGCTGTTATGTTCTATTGCTCATGATACAGGCAGCCTGGAACTCAGATTGCCACTCCAGGAAATACTACCTTGTGTATTCAGAGTTTTATATTTTACATTATACTGTTCGTTGTTTATTATAGCCTCCTCTTCCAAAGGCTGCAGCTCAGATACTCTTGGAAGCTTTTTGATCTGTGATGTAATTGCAATACCACATAAACAGGTTAGCTGTTTTATAGCTTGTTTGGAAATGTAGAGCACAAGGGGAGAACATTTTTGTAGATATATCTGAAATTTTGGAGTACAATTCATTTACAAAATGAGTAGTGTTGGTGTAGATTTTCTGCTTTGTTTTTTCAATGAGCAATTTCTGGATCTTGTATCTGGTCAGTTTTATGTGCTGTGGTTACCTTCCACCATACTATGGTACTTTCCATTCTACTGAGACACAAAGTATCACTAAGGATCCTTCTCTTTTTTGTATAAATACATGTTTTAAGTTAAGGAAGTGATAGTGGTGATGGTGGGAGTAGTTAGAAGTTTACTGCTCCTCTTTATTAATGTTGAGCAGGGTAATTCAGTTTTGAATCACAAAGCTGAAAGCACATATGAAAGATAGCCCAACAAAATATTATCAGTCAGATGGAACGATAGCCATGCACAACATGACTTTAAGGGTGGAGACTCCAAAATGTACCCATTCCAGTGTTTTATTATTCTTTTGGCTTAAGAGAGCTTTTTTTCTGAAATCTCTTAATTTTAATCATTTCTTATTTTAACATAGTTTTGCACTGAATTAAATATTTTTGTCTGAAATATTTAAACAATGCTAATTTTAGTTTAACCAGTTTTTCTACTGAGTTTACGAATGAACAAAGGAAAAATCTAAAGAATCAAGAATTTAACTCATGCTTGATGTTTCTTCAGCCATCCTTCAAGATAATTGAAGATAATTGTATATTCTTGTATATTATCCTAAGTTCTTATTAGTTATAAAATTAAATACATATTATATACATTTAAGTTAAATACACTTTTAGTTTGCAAACCTACTCTTTTCTCTTGAAAAATATATTCTAAAGTTCATCCTACTACCTTAAAAATCAACTTTGGCACAGCGTTTTAAAGGTAAAGACTTCTTATCTTACATGCTCTTGTTTTGAGAGGTTTACATTTTAATTTTTGAATTTGATTCACAACCGCCTCCAGATTGAGTGGTTTTGAAAGAAACTTTTGAGTGCTGCTTATTTTTAATTTGTTAGAAACAAAATCTCCTTTAGTCTGTCTTGTGACTGTCCTTATGAAGAAAGCATAACTATTCTCTTTTTGGAGTGAGGTCTCCAAGGAAGTCACAAACTTCACACATTTGTGTACTTTTAGAAAAGTTCCCAGTACTCTATGCCTGTCTTGCTCCTCCATCTACCCTAACTGCACTTCTGCCATCATAGGACTGTTTAAGCAAAAATTACTCGTTTCCTGCCTTAATCTTTTATGTCTTACTGGTAGGCCAGTTTCTTTCATCTGGTTGGGGGAAGGGGTCATCTGATTTTATATGCTTGGCTATGTTTATTTACAAAAATATGAATAGAATGTATGTCGCATGAACCTCAATGCATTATGGCTGTGGAAACTGATAAATGCTTACTGTTTTTTCTCTAGGTGTGGCAACATACCAAAGGCATTATTTGTATCAGAGATTTGCAAGTTACAGCATGTGGGCTAAATCCAGCTTGTTGATTGTTTTTGAATGGCTTATGAACTAAAAGTGGTTCTTACATGGTTAAAAAAGTTAATATTTCATGAAAATTATATGAAGTTCAAGTTTAATTTTTCAATTAATGAAGTTTTATTGTACATAGTCTCACTCATTCTGTGACTATGGCTGCTTTTATACTATAATGATGGAATTAAGTAGTTGTGAAGAGACCGTATGGCTTGCAAAACCTAAAATATTTACTATTTGGCTGTTTATAGAAAAGGTTTGCCGACTCCTGACTTGTAACACTGAAATTTAATATGCTTGGCTTAATATCATTTTTTCTACCTGTTAACACTATGGAGACAACAAAACTACTTTTTAATAACATTTGTTTGATGAAATATTTTCAATGCTTATTTTGTGTTAGATGCTGTGATTAGCAGTAAGGAATAAAAGGTGCGTAAGTAAAATCTCTTCTTACTAGGAACTCATGGCCTAGTATTTACTGAGAAGTTGATAGTTTTCTAATATGAATTGATGATTATTTATATTATGTAATTAAAACCAGAGAATTTAATGCTATTTTATTATTAGTTACAAATTATATTAGCCCTTATCACATATGTATGTTTAAGTTGGTGCAAATGTAATCGTGATTTTTGCCATTACTTTTAACATTCGAAAGTAATGTCAATAAAAAGTAATGGCAAATGGCTGGGTGCAGTGGCTCACGCCTGTAATCTGAGCATTTTGGGAG